TTTCGATTGATCCTCATTTCCAGTATGACTTGATTCGAGAGGAAGTCTGATAAACAACTTCATGCGACAAAACAGATTATCTAGCATTAGATTTGAAATCAACATAATACTTCCAGTTCGGTTGTCCAATAATTAATTTTGGGAAGTACAGTTATTTATTCGACTACTTATGGCATCAACGTTTGGGAGAAATTACGATTGATTAAAGATTAGTATTATCATTTTGATTCCTGCACAAAATAACTTAATTCAAATGAGAAATAAGTTTTTTCTGAACAGCGATCTATTTTTTAGAGTAGTAAAGAGAAGAAGACCTAACTAAATACATGTAGAAACGAGTCAAAACTTTTCTATCACAAAGATTTACTATTTTTCTAGTTATTTGCTCTTTGATCTCAGGAGAATTCTATCGTTTCTTATTCTGAAGATCACTACGATTTCATCTAAAATTTATGTTATCTTGAAAGATCCTTTAGATTAACTGTTCAGTACAGTAGATTACAGACAATGTCTAAAAACGCTGAAACAGCAATAAAATTCCGTTTTTATGAAGGAAGAGAAACTATTACTAAGTGTATTAAACAGTATTAGAGGTTATTCGATGGTAAAATCGCGTTTTTCTTTAGTATTTTTGAATATTTGTTAAGCAAAAAAGACTGTTTTAATGGATTCATGATCCACGTGTATAATTAGCAGGGCAGCCCTGCCTATTTCTGCTCTGCCCTGCAGGGCAGGACATTTTTTTATGAGCCGCCCTACCCTGTGGACATCTCTGATTACGAGTTATTACATGAAAAAAGAAAAGAAAAAAACACGATAGGAAATATCTGCCACAATGAGAGAAAAGAAACGATTACTACAATAATTGAGATAAATGCAAACAAAGAGGTAAAAAATGAACATATATGAATAATTATTTTAAGATAATTTGAAAAGTGATAATACATTTTATATGCTTGTAATAACACTAAACTCTTAACAGTGTATCGATTTATACACGTTCAAAATGCAGAAGAGGTACATTCTCATTTTCTTTTTTTGTCAAGTTCATCTAGACGATTCTGTTCAGCGTCTTGAGCAGGAAAGGGTCGAACTCGTAAACAATTTATAAATGTTTTTCTGAAAATCGCTATCCTAGGTTTGAGAAAATCTTTTTCCATTCTCAAAAAAATAACATCAGATTCGAAGTCTCCACATCGAAATACCTCTGGAAATGTCTTTTCGGAAAAATCCATTTTCGGTGCTTTTCTGGCCCTGCGAACATACAAGCAAGCAAGCAAACAATTTATGTTTCTAAGACTCCTCTCTACAAGAAAGAGAATAATAAGTATCTCGTTACGCTTCTTTGGAAAATTTTTCATTATGATCAATAATTGGGATGCCATCGGATTCAGAATATAATTGAAAAGAGTTTATAAATTGTGACCATGATTTGTAAATTTAATTGAGTAACAAAATGAGACAGAATAAAAAAAAATGTTCATTGAAATCAAAATCAATATAGAGAATTCTCTTTTAAATATTGATTTTTTGAAATGGATGTCAATTGCTTCTTACATATCATTCATTTAATCAATATCAAATGAATAGTCTTATTCAAATTTTGTTTCTTTTCAACCTTTCAAATCGATTAAATGGAAAATCTTTACAAAGATTTCCGCGAGGTTTGTTTCTTTCTTTTCGAAAAATTCTTTTTTCACTATTTTGTTCATTGAAAAGGAGCCTATGCATATTCATCAAATATCTATGTTCGTTGTTTTTCATCTGATTCATTGGTAAAACTGTTCAATGGAACAACCAAATCCATATCAAATCTTAGAACAGGTGATCAGTTAATGACAATCGATGACAATTCATTAAAAATTCTCTCTACTGAAATGCTTTTTATGTTACATGAATCAAAAAATGAAACAAGTAATAATTCTCTAATGAAAGAATTGAAGAATTTAAAATGAATTTTTTGTTGCCTTCAAGGTTTATTTTATAAATTAAAAACAAAATCAAATCATGAGATTAGTTTAACAGGAAATCATTTAATTCCAATAAAAGAATCTTTCAGTGGAAATTTTCTTTATATTTTGACAAGAAATATCAAAATTGGTGATTATTTAATTATTTATGAAAATGGTAAAATTGAATATTCTCAAGTGATAAAGAAAACAAAAGAAATAAAGAAAGGTTTTTATGCTCCATTGACAATGACTGGAACATTATTTATCAATGAAATTTACTCAAGTTCATTTGCAAATATTCCAAATCATTATTTAGCTCAATTTTATTTATTTCCAATTCGATTTTATTATCAAATATCAAAGATATTTTCCTTTCGACCATATGAAAAATGTTTTCATGTTTTTATAGAATTTAGTTTTGATTTTTTTTACAAATATTTTCCAAATTTATTAATTCTTCAATAAAAATATTTTTGCATTTTCTTTTCTTTTTTAATGACGAAATGAAGTCATAAAAAGAAAGAAAGAAAGAAAGAAAAAAATATTCATCGATATTTCGTTGTTGTGTTTTTTTTTCTCTTTTTTCGTCAAGGATATTTAATCACATGTCAAATACAAAAACAAGGAAAATAAGTGTGACGCAAGACGAAAAGCATTTCTTATCCAAAACGAAATGACAGCCAACGATTCAGGACATATTAGTAAGTGAACATTGTCTATTGAAATATTTTTATTCGAAATTTCTTTTTCAAGATAATCTTAATGAAAATCAAAAAGAAAATTTAAAAGAATTTTGGAAAATTCTTCTTGAATACATCGAAAATGAGGATGATCAGTTGAAAAAGATATTATTTCTTTTATTTGGATTAGATAATCCAGATGTAATTTTATTAAGATTTCTTCGGGCAAGAAAATGGGATATTCATGCAGCTCTCGAACAATTTATTCAAACAATACAATGGAGAATTGAAGTTAATATTGAAGATATTCTTCTTTATGGAGAAAATCATATTGAATTCGAAGAAATTTTGAGTGGAAAGACTTTTTTCATTTGTTCAGACAAATTTGGTCGACCAATTAATTATGTTTCTGTTAAAGATCATATCAAAGGACAATTTCCATCAGAATCAACCGAAAAATTAACAATTCTTTCAATGGAAACAGGAAGAAAATTATTAAAATATCCAAATGAATCTGTTACTGTAATTTTCGATATGGATGGATTTGCAATGAAAAATATGGATTATCATCATGTCAAATTTCTCATCAATTTACTTCAAAATTATTATCCCGAATCTCTTGGTCTTGGACTTGTTCTTAATGCACCTTGGATATTTAATAGTTGTTGGTATTTAATTAAATCTTGGTTAGATCCTGTTGTTCAACAAAAAATTCATTTCATTAAAAATCTTCAAGATTTAAATCAATTTATTGATCGAAATTCTTTACCAAAACGATTAAATGGAGATTTACCAGAATTTCAATATATTCCACCAAATGAACAAGAAAAACAAATGTTAGCGATAATTCATCAAGATTCTTGTGGTAAATTGAAAGCAAAAGAAGATCATTATCAATCAGGATTAAAATATCTTGAAATAACTTCAAAATGGATTGAAAATAAATCAAATGATAATGAAAGAAAACAAAGTGAAGAAGAATTACGATCTTCATATGAAAAACTTCTTCCATATATTTCATCGTTAACTCATTATCATCGAAATGGTTATATTAATGAGCCGATCTATAATCAAACTTATGAATTTATTCAAAAAACAAATCAAGAGAAAACAACTTTTTTTTAGAAAAATTTCTTCATTGGAGGAATTGTTTCATTTGATTGTTTTGAATTTAATCTTGTTGCAAAATAAGGTCTTTCTTCACTTGGACATTCAAAAGTTTCACCTTGATGCCATTCCCATTGCTTTTCTCCAACTTGTTCAAGTAAATTATTCCATAATGAAAGTGCAGCACGAGAATGTCCTTTACCTTTGAAAAAAAGAAATTGAAATCTATTGAAAAACATTCCAAAAGATATTAGACGAACCACTAAAATGAAAACAATCAGGAGCAAAATAACTGTAATCGATTTGTCCATCAACTAGTGGAATTTGTGTATGAGCCATAAATGGTTGAATAACAACTGTAAAGTCATCACGTGTATCATATTTGCCTGAATTTATCAAATCTACTAAATATTTATGATATAATGGAACATATTCTGCTAATGTTCTTCGATCATCATCTGATGGAAAAGCAGCACATGGACATGTTCGACTATGAAGTAATTTACAAACGTTTCCACCAGCATTTAATTTCTCCACACCTCGAACATCAAGAACAAGAACCAAATTAACGAATGTGCGTGGAAAATTTGCATGTAGATAATCTAATGTTTGTTCAACATAATGTGTATAATTTAATGGAGAATGTTTATTGAGATCTTCACAAAATATGCATAAATCATTTCCCTACAAAGAAAAAGGAAAAACGAAAGAATTCATTCGTTTTATTTCGATTAATTTCATTTACTCCAATAAAAAATGTGATCATTTTCCAGTCATCATTCATATTACAATATTGATTGGAATTTAATCTTTGACGAAGAATTTGAATTTGATCAATCATATGATATGATCGATCACCAGATTTTGCTTTAAAACAAAAACAGAACATTTTTTTTTGTTTTTTTTTAAAGATTTGGAAATCGACTCACCGACATTTAAACCGTTATGAGAAGAATTTTGTCCTTTACCGAAAATCAGTGATTGTTTCGTTGAAAAACCTTTTAACTTCGGATTATATTGACGAAGAACATTTGGTAACGTGACCAATTCCTCGAAATGATAATCGCCTCCAACTGCCCACGAAACACCTCGATTTTCTGTAAATAATCCAACTGGTGTTAAAGCATGTGCACCTAATCCAGCTGTTAAACTATCACCAATAGCTCCAACACATTGAATATCATTTGGGCGAAGTTTATGAACTGTAATTGTTTCATTGATTTGTCTTTTAGAATTAATTTCACATGGAAATTTATCAAATTGTTTTCCATAGAGATAATCTTTTGTTGAAAATAGTTCTAACGACCATTTTGTATATTCTTCAAGGAAATTTGCATCTTGAATTAATTCTTCAATTGATGAAATATATTCATCAAGTTTTAATGAATTGATATTGATAATTAAGAAAATAAATATAACGAAAGATTTCATTATTTATTTGTAATTGTTAAATTCATAAAAATGAAAAATATAAAAACGAAATATCATTTGGTTTTAATTCACATGAAAAGATAAAACATATCTCTTTTCATTCACACCCACCTATCGTGATTAAGTGTTTTTATCAAAAATCAAAACTCAAAAGAAAATTTATTTATTTATTTTCTTGTTTTCTTGGTTTTTCATCTGTTTTTATCTTTTCACTAATCATATCTACAGATTCCTCAACTGTCTGTTCAATTAATTTTTGTGCAGCTTGTCGTGTAGATTCTTGAACAACGGCATTATTATCTTTGATTTGTTCTTCTAATTTTGGTTCGATCTGTTTATAAGTTTCATCGGAAATTTCTTTTTTGACTTCTTCTGAAGTAACATATTTAAGTGATAATTTATGAACTTCATTGGAATTTTTTTCTGGATATTCTGAAAATAATAAACCTTCGTAATGTTCAGGTGATGCTTTTTCCATTTCACTAACAATTCGATCATGTTCTTTCTTTAAAAGCAAGAGAAGAAAATTTTTAATGAAAAATTCTTTTCTAACTTACAATATAATTTGTTGGAATACGAATAATTCTACTGTCGATAATATTATTTATTTCATCGACAAGAGTTGGATCAATTTGTATCTTTCTACTAACACATACACCCATTGAGAGATTTGGTCAATCAAAATCCGAAATGAGTTTTGAAGAAATTTTTTCAACATTTAAATACGTCTATTCATTCTTCTCTTCCTTTGTTTTCTCTTCTTCGTCATTGTTGATTTGTAAAGAAAAGATTATGTGAGCAATAAAGTTAGATGACAATTTGTTTCAATTCCTCTTTCTTATTTTACCATAAACATATTGTGACGATGTTTTGATAAAAAAGTTCTTTCTTCGGCTTTCCTAATCTCAATTACTGAATACGGTAATAACAAAGTTTCTTCTTGATAAAATTATTTCAAATTTGATCAGTCAAAATTTGTTTTAATAGTTATCATTCAGACAGTACGATTGTTTTCATCGTTATGAATTGATTTGATTCCAACCATGTGAAAGAAACACACGTCAATCTGTGTGTCCGAAGCATATAAAACAAAATCCGTATTGTGAAGCGGAAGCACATTATGCCTTTGAACGACGTCGAAAATTGATTCCGTTGGCAATGAAGTCAAAATATAAACCCGAAGGATGGTTAGGAATAATTGTTAGTGGAAAGATTTATGTAGATTTTGCTAAACATCAATTCGACCTGGTTTATCCAATGCTTAAAACTGAAATTGAAAAGAAACGACAGACAGAAAGCATCACTTCTAAAACATTAACAACAACAGCAATCGATTTACCTGTGCCATTACAACATCAGCAGTTCATATGAAACGACCACATTGTATCGATACTTTGTCGACAGATCATGTTCAGTTCTTTTCTCACTACCAATAATTTCACATCACTTCTACCTGTTTTCACTAACTTTAATGGTCAATTGTTACATCAAGCATATGCCATGTGCCAACTAAATCGAGAAACTATTGTTCATTCAATGAAGAACGAAGTAACAACGTTCGAACATGTTCCGTCACTGACACTGACACTTATCTTCATTCTCTCGAAGCATTGAAACACAGTATATTCCAGTATCTAACAGTAACAATGCACAAACACCAGCGTTGATGATTTGCAGTGTTATGTGAATTCAAACGTCGAGTTTTTCATCAGTCTATACGAAACCTTCGGAATATTCATTGTCATTCAAATCTTTCTCGAAAATGAGTCAGTTTGCTGATTTGATTACACGATCGAGAAGGTGTTTGTCATGTTTTTTCGATAATATTCCATGTACTCACATATCGTGATCGATCGGACAGTATCATTTTCCTTTTGCGATACTGAAAATGAGTCTCTTTCGCTGAATTACATTTTCTGTTACCGATAGCCATAAATGACATTATTAGAGTTGCCAGTTTTCTTCACTCATATATCGTTTTCATAGTGAAATCAGTGTTTGTATTAGAATGTGCAATGTATTTATTTTTCCAACGGTTCTCTGAATAATCCAACAATATTTTGACGTTTCATTCTATTCATCAATATAACATGAAATAAGAACATTCACAAATCAACAATCATAGAATCCAAATGTACAAAGTGTTATGCTCTTCAATTTTCACAATTACTTTGTATTCATCGTTTCTATTTAAACCAAATAATTGACGCCGTTTTTCAATGATATGATCTCGCGAAATTGCATCATCTATCAAACCCTCATGAGAAAATCTCATGGCAAGATGCTTTAGCATTTTGAGACCGCCCACGAAAATCTCGACGAGTGGTATGCTACAATCAAGTGAATATACATTCATTTCGATATGTGTCAACGATGGAAAACGTTCAACAATTTTCGATCCATGTTTGGGCGAAAGATACGCATGATTTGAACTTAAGTGTAATTGCGTTATTCGATCAAAAGCGAGAAGAAGTTCAGAATTATCAATGAAGCCAGACGAGAAAAACAGTGAAGTATGCATAAAAAGCTCTGTAACATTGACACATGCTCTAAATTAACAAAAAAAAAGAAACAGATCTCTATAAAATATTCTGTTCAGAATATATTCGAAAGAAAAAGACTTACAATAAAACATGTGGCACAACATATGACCGCGTTAAGTTATTCGTATGTTTAAATTCCAATGTCGAAACAGTGGATAGATCAATAAGAGATGAAAGATTTGTAACATATTCATGTGAATCATTCTGATTTGAATGTGTGAAAACTAAACGATAGCAAACAAAAACAAATAAGTATAAAAGTACTTAATGGAAGAATGAGCAATAATGTATCGATGCACATTTACTTACCTGAATTGTAGATATTTTGGAATAGTTGCGGTATTTCCAACAGTTCGAAGGATAAATCTATCGTAAGAAACTTGACATCCCTAAACGGAATGCTTGAAAATGATTCAACGGTTTGTCTTTCCATATACATCGGCATATAAAACGTTGCTGAATTGTTATGTGATTGATATCGATGGATATTAGTACTTGGCATATCAGTGGAGATTATCTTGAATGTGCCACAACATATATCTATTATTATCGGGCATTTATATCGTGGTATCTGATGTCTGTAATTAAGTGTGCGTAAAACAATGCATTCATCTAAATATACTCATACCAGTTGAGGTAAAAATTCAAAAAGTAGTCGAAGTCATAATGAAGTGTGGAAAGAGAATAGCATCCTTCAAAATTGAGAATAAGCATCGTATAACAGAATCCATGATGAACGAATCAAACTTATCAATGATTTTGAACAACCATTCCGCTTAGAACTTTCATCTTAACCACTATGTATACATTTATTTGTTCTAAGCATCGTAAATATCCTCTCAGCTGTAATTTGTGCAAAAAACACCCAATCTATGATGTTCTCAACAAAATTATTCTTACGTGTCATCCTTTCCTATAAGCAAAAAAAGATATTATTCTCATTTCACTTTCCACAATATCTAACAGTTCCGAAGACAATCAGTCTATCGTTCCTTTATTCTTCACAAAACTCAATAAAAGTCATACATTGTTTTTTACTTACAGGATGCAAATTCTTGAAGGATTTGCCATCGGCTGACAGCCATATGCCAACTATCATACTGTCTTTGAAAGTAATTGAATGAGTGAAGAATCGCGGTCGAATCTAACGATTTATCACCGATTAGAAAAGTCATAAGAAAATCAAATTTCTTCATATTTGGCATATAACTTGTCAATAATCGTTGCCAATTGTGTCCATTAATTAACAAATCCATGAACGGTGCATTCATATTGTCATTGAGAACAGTAACACAAAATTCTTCAAGACTAGGTACACAACGAAGAATGGAATTCAGTGAACGAATATCGAATTGTATCCATATCTGCAGGTCAAGTATTTTTAATGGCGATATGGTCGAAGACTCATGTTCGTTCATTGACAATAAATTTGAAGTACTGAAAAAAAAAGAAAATGACTTTCATCTTGCAATGCATTCATTCCAATAGACTTACTTCGTGATATGATTATCTTCTGGCTTCGTACCTTTGATGATAACATTTAGTTGTCGTAATGCAGTACACACACGAAGAACAGGAATCAAAGAATAGATCGATATCTTCTCTTCTGTTCCGTAAAATATCAACTCCAAATAAGTAAGTTTTGTATTGATGTTCATACTTGTGGCTAATTCAGGATGGTCATGATGGAATCGAAGAGTAACTAAATTGAGTGAGGATAGTTCATTCAACACAGCCATTTTGGTAAACGCATCTGCATGCGTTCTACGTAAGATATCTTCACCAGGATCATAAGATTGAAGTATATGAAATGAGACCATCTGCGTTTGTAATCTTAATTTCTCGATAACATTTGTTAGTTTAGACGATGCGTTCATACACAAAAATATGCAGGAACGAAGATTAGGAAAGCTATGCCGATTAAAAAAATATGCGATGACATTGGTCTGATCGCATATTTGATCACAAACATAGAACGAAATGACTTGATCGGAATGAAAAGTCAGATTACGAGATAAAAACTTGGTTTGATGATGACAATATCCAGAATCAATAATTATATGAAGACGAGGCAGTTTCAAAATAGATGAAATACGTGAATTAAGAGAAGCAAACGCAAAAAATAAATCAAAAGCATTTAAATAATCAAAGATTTCACAGAATAACTCGTTAGACAAATCTTCTAACTTCAAGCACGTTTCCATTGTGTTGTGTGAAGAATTGACAAGCATGTATATGAAACAAACAGCGAATCGGGCGTGTGACAGTTCAATTGATGAATCGACCAAAGATAAACAGGATACGATATGCATGCGTGTTTGACGTCAGCTGTCCATATTTCAATATTATGAACGATTGAAACAAAATGAAAGAGAAAAAGCACGACAGTAACAACTTCTTTATTTAAGATCGTATTCGACGATGAAATGTGTAAAACAAAGCCGGAGAAAGAAACAGGCTGATAGTCGAACTATGCCCGACAATGGATACATTTTAGCTAAAACTGTATGAAAGAAACAAATTTTTCGTTAGTTCCCTTTTTCATTCGTTGGAATATTTAGTCAGTTGAAATCAGAGACGAAAAAAACGGAAATTTGTCTACTAAATGAACTGATGCTCTGCTACTATTCGCTTCAACTACGTAGTTTCTTCTTGGGCATACTTGACATTTTCAATGTATGTTCAATCACTATGATGAGTAGTTACGGAGTATGATAATGCTGCTTGTACGAAGTAGCAGCGCAGTTAGATCAAAAAAGTAAAATGACTGATGTATGTTTATCATGTTCGCTCATCATTTTACCAAAACATGTGGCAACTATACGTATCGATTGCTACAGAGAATACCATACCTACTACACTTTGCTACAAACGATATTACTAATGGATATCTTATACAGTGTGTATTGCATACTCGAGAAATTTCGGCGATGTGCATTCAGCATGTACAGTTTAAAAGGTGAAGAAAAAACAGAATCGAACTACTGCGCGTATAAATACCTATTGGACATAGTAATCCCCATTCCGTAGAAACTGATCGTAAGAAGGTTGAGTTGAGCTAGGTCACTCATATGAATATGATAATGACGTAAAAATCTGGATGGTGAAAGTATAACATAAATACACATATGATAGACAACGAATTTGATTTTGTTGAAATGGTCGCTTTTATTGAAGAAAGATTGCTTTCATGAAACTGACGAGAAGCATTATTTTGTTCGCTTCGGTAATCCGCATGAATCATTGTGACGTTGAAGGATAAAATTCATTGATGTAGCAAGTTGTGTTTGTCAGGCTGTTTAATTCTTCAATAAGAATACTTTTTGGATGATTGTTGTGATTTGTAGGGTAGAAAAGCGATGTAGAAGCTTAGTTTATAGTAATTTCAATTCGACTCATAATCATCAGTACAATTACTCCTATGATAGTAATTTTCCCGTGGACATATGATGCTTTTTAAAGCAAAGGAAAACATGATTCACCTCTCTGCCTCATTCGATTTTGAAAGCAATGGATGGAAATATATGAATGAGAGGAAAGAAAAGAAGTAAGAAGGTAATAATTTATCTGTATATCGAGCTACATAAGATTTGAATATCGTACAACGAAGAAAAACAATCGAAAGAAAAGAAACGAACATGGGACGAGATGTTCTCTGTTAGTAAGAAAGAAAAGAAGATAAATAAATAGTGAAGTCAAACCTTTACGATCATTGACTCTAACGACCACTTTTCCTCACCATATGTTCTACCCTAAGAGATACATGTAGAAGTGTAATTAACTAATCCTTTCATCCTTGTAGATGTATTCTGTTCAAGCAATACCTCGTCCGCGCATTAGATCTGGCTTTAACAGAAGAATAGTAAGACAAATATTGTTTTTTTTCGTCAAACGCTTTTGTTGTTAGGGAGGCGCATCGGCATATTGCAATTATGTAATTACAAAAGTGAAAAGGTTCTGGGTTATTGTGTTGCATTTCCTTTGGATTCCTTCGCAACCTGCCGCGCACTCTCGAACGGATTATTGATTCCGCAGATGATGCTTACCTTGATTTTCTTGACACGATTGGCTTTTGTTACAACGTTGTTCGTGACGAAATGCGAGTGAATGGTAATTTTTGGCTCCAATATATTGGACTATCGATTGCCACAGGCATAATATGGAGTTTCGCGTATTACATGTTGTTTGATTGTAAGTAAACGTGTGGAAACCAAAGTACTATCTTTCCTTGTTTTTCTTATAGATCGGAAAGACAACAGAGTTTTTTTACAGTTAATTTTGTTTTTTAATAGCAAATGAAGATGCAATGGTTTGATCTTTTTTTGAAAAGAAGAAGAAAAACATTGATAACAGAAAATAAAAGAATAATCGCTTCGCACATTTCATCTCCGTTAATTCAGAAATCTGAATTGATTCGGCATCGGCACCATCCTATGGAAACTTTCTTAACAATACGTCTAAGGGCAATCACATCGCATCCATCTTATCTGTGATCTAGTTAACAATTACCTTCCACACTCCATCGAATAACTTCCCGTAGATGCCAATTACTAACATTAAGATATTCGCGATCGTCCTTGTCTAAATCAGTACGTTCAATATTCGAAATAAGTATTTCCGAATGTGAAATATTTTCACGAGACCATCAACTTATTCTTTCATGCCACTTCATAAATAATGAACAAATCAGTTTTTTTATCAACAAGAAAGTCGATAGGTTTTCCCAATACAAATCTGCAATAATCCAATGAAACAGCACTGATAACAATTCAAGGTTCAGTCCTATTAAAATGCACTTCAATTATCTGATGTTTCATATTTCAGCTAAGTAGAAAATTCCATCGGTGTCCATCTACATTGGATTAGAGTGAAATATCCTGTCGATCGAAATCAATTCGATGTAAGATTGTTGTTTCATGTTAATTCTATTTTGTTTTATGATTAACTGTATCATAGATTGAGATTAAACATCGCTGAAAATATTTTTTGCCTTCTGGTGCGATTGCTGTTGGGCCATTTTGATTTGTGTTCATTGGAATAATTGTTATTGATATAACAACAATGATGACAATCAGAATAGCACCAACAAACAAGAATATCATGCCGTTTGTATTGAAAACGATCCTGTCTAAATTGAATTTCGCAGTTTCGACATTGACTGTAAGATGATTTCATCCACTCACGACATTCTCCATTGATTAATTGGACTTTCATTTTTGTTTTGATTAAGTTTTGGTAAATATAAATCAAAGAAAGATGTATTTCTTATTGACGAATATTATTCTGGTACCGTTGTATCGAGCTTTATATTTGTTAAAAAATATGTGTTCACCATCGTCCTATTCATCTGAGGTATGACGCTCAGCATTTGGTCAATGAAAAACGCAAATGACTTTTGAAGAAATTTTTTCAACATTTAAATACGTCAATTCATTCTTCTCTTCCTTTGTTTTCTCTTCTTCGTGATTCCTGATTTGTAAAGAATAGATTATGTGAGCAATAAAGTTAGATGACGATTTGAGTTTATTTCGATTGAGAAGCACTTGAAAGCTTGCATGACTCATGCAAGTCACATACGGGATGTATAAAAATCATGTGTCAGATAGCTAAATACATAAAAATCTTGAGGATAGAGTGTGCGGGTGTGCATGAAAAGCGTATTCACATTAATATCCACCTAAAAAGTATACTTGTATTTTCTCCAATTTTTCATTTATATTTTATACGTATGACCGATATTAAAATATTGTACAGTAATCAATAGTAGTGGCAGATGTGCTTTATTCGCATATATAGGATTTGAGAAAATTTTCTGTTATATGAAATGATAGAGGAAAGGAAGTCATATTTTTGCATATATCCCACGTCGCTACTTTTTTATGCCTATCGGCGGTACAAGGCGGTTTTCAATATGTCTAAGAAAAATCACCGGTATACGGCGGTTAACCAGTGTTTATTGGACGGTATGCAGGATATCTTGGACAGGGATTTGACCTTTTCTTGAACGAATTCGCACGTGAGTGTATTCCAACTCTGATCGCATTCGTTCCAAGTAGAGCTCGATGAGCTCTATCGATTCCAATCATAAAAAAATTCCACACAACCACACCCTCACCCTCAAATCCTTGGTTATCGTGTTGAATGATATAATTCAGCATTTGATAATGTTTCTAAACAAGATTTATTCTCATTTTCATGTTTCATTACTCGAACAGATTATTATCTTTGTTATATAAACGACAAGTGATCGAGTGCAGACTATTCAAAGGAAAATTAAAACAAAACGTCGTTTCGTACATTAAGTGAAAATGTTAAGTAATATCATGTCAACGTCATTTTAAAAGAATTCTCCTGAGTACATTTTAACAACGTGTTTTTTGTCACAATTGAGTTGACGTAAGGAAACAACTTCAATATGATTATTTTTAGAGAATAAGAAAAATTCTACACAACGTATGACGTACAACAATGAAAGAAGTCGGTGGTTACGATAGTAACTGATTCTTATTCTTCATTCTTCGTTTACTTATTAGAGAAATATTAACGTCGGAGAAATTCTGTGTGTTTTATTATAAAAGCTTTCTCAAAATTTTTATTCTAAAAAAGAAAAAAAATATGGGCTGTGCAGTTGGATTGTTAACAACTTATTCAGTTGAAGAAGTTGAATCCGAAGTAGCTAAATTAACTCCTCATTTACCAATGGCTGAATTGATGAATGGTGGAATAATAAAACTAGGAGGAGCAAATGGATTTTTTAATCCAAATTCTCTTCTTGATCCAAGTTGGTTAAAAGGTAAAATGACAGTCGAAGAATATCAACAAGCAATTAATTACANGCGTTTGTAATCTTAATTTCTCGATAACATTTGTTAGTTTAGACGATGCGTTCATACACAAAAATATGCAGGAACGAAGATTAGGAAAGCTATGCCGATTAAAAAAATATGCGATGACATTTGTCTGATCGCATATTTGATCACAAACATAGAACGAAATGACTTGATCGGAATGAAAAGTCAGATTACGAGATAAAAACTTAGTGTGACGATGACAATATCCAGAATCAATAATTATATGAAGACGAGGCAGTTTCAAAATAGATGAAATACGTGAATTAAGAGAAGCAAACACAAAAAATAAATCAAAAGCATTTAAATAATTAAAGATTTCACAGAATAACTCGTTAGACAAATCTTCTAACTTCAAGCACGTTTCCATTGTGTTGTTTGAAGAATTGACAAGCATGTATATGAAACAAACAGCGAATCGGGCGTGTGACAGTTCAATTGATGAATCGACCAATAGATAAACAGGACGCGATATGCATGCATGTTTGACGTCAGCCATCCATATTTCAATATTATGAACGACTGAAACAAAATGAAAGAGAAAAGGCACGACAGTCATAACTTCTTTATTTAAGGTCGTATTCGACGATGAAATGTGTAAAACAAAGCCGGAGAAAGAAACAGGCTGATAGTCGAACTATGCCGAACAGTGGATACATTTTAGCTAAAACACTGTATGAAAGAAAGAAATTTTTCGTTAGTTCCCTTTTTAATTCGTTGGAATATTTAGTCAGTTGAAATCAGAAACGAAAAAAACTGAAATTTTCCTTCTAAATGAACTGATGCTCTGCTACTATTCGCTTCAACAACGTAGTTTCTTCTTGGGCATACTAGACATTTTCAATGTATGTTCAATCACTATGATCAGTAGTTATGGAGTATGATAATGCTGCTTATACGAAGTAGCAGTGCACTTAGATCAAAAAAGTAAAATGACTGATGTATGTTCATCATGTTCGCTCATCATTTTACCAAAACATGTGGCAACTATACGTATCGATTGCTACAAACGATGTTACTAATGGATATCTTACACAGTGTGTATTGCATACTCGAGAAATTTCGGCGATGTGCACTCAGCAAGTATAGTTTAAAAGGTAAAAAAAACAGAATGGAACTACTGCGTGTATAAATACCTATTAGATATAGTAATTCCCATTCCGTAGAAACTGATCGTAACAAGGTTGAGTTGAGGTAGGTCACTCATATGAATATGACAATGACGTGAAAATCTGGATGGTGAAAGTATAACATAAATGCACATATGATAGACAAAGAATTCGATTTTGTTGAAATGGTCGCTTTTATTGAAGAAAGTTTGCTTTCATGAAACCGACGAGAAGCATTATTTTGTTCGCTTCGGCAATCCGCATGAATCATTGTGACGTTGAAGGATAAAATTCATTGATATAGCAAGTTGTGTTCGTCAGGCTGTTTAATTCTTCAATAAGAATACTTTTTGGATGATTGTTGTGATTTGTAGGGTAGAAAAGCGATATAGAAGCTCAGTTTATAGTAATTTCAACTCGACTCATAACCATCAGTATAATTGCTCCTATGATAGTAATTTTGAATGGAAATAGATGAATGAGATGAGAGGAAAGAAAAGAAGATAAATAAATAGTGAAGTCAAACCTTTAGTATCATTGACTCTAGGGACCACTTTTCCTCACCATATGTTCTAGCCTAAGAGATACATGTATAAGTGTAATTAACTAATCCTTTCATCCTTGTAGATGTATTCTGCTCAAGCAAAACCTCGTCCGCGCATCAGATCTGGCTTTAAAAGAAGAATATAGTAAGACAAATATTGTTTTTTTTTCGTCAAACGCTTTTATTGTTAGGGAGGCGCATCGGCATATTGCAATTATGTAATTACAAAAGTGAAAAGGTTCTGGGTTATTGTGTTGTGTTTCCTTTGGATTCATTCACAATCGGTTTTTGCATTCCTTCGCAACCTGCCGCGCACTCTCGAACGGATTATTGATTCCGCAGATGACGTTTACCTTGATTTTCTTGACACAATTGGTTCCGACCGGTTAGGTTCGTTTCCCGACCATTTCCTTGCCGCCGGATTCCGGTCGGAAGTTCAAACGGCCAGGAACTGATCGGATATTTCCTGTGCAATTCCGGCGGCAAGGAACCTGCCAGAACTTGCTGGATTCGGCGAAAGCTGTGCCGGAATCGACAAGAGCTGTACCAGAACCGACTCAGATTTCAACGGATCCAGTCACCGGGATGATCGACCTGGGTATATTGGACTATTGATTGCCACAGGCATAATATGGAGTTTCGCGTATTACATGTTGTTTGATTGTAAGTAAATGTGTGGAAACCAAAGTACTATCTTTTCTTGATTTTCTTATAGATCAGAAACACAACAGAGTTTTTTACAGTTAACTTTGTTTTTTAATATCAAATGAAGATGCAATGATTTGATCTTTTTTTGAGAACAATAAGAAAAACATTGATAACAGAAAATAAAAGAATAATCGCTTCGCACATTTCATATCCGCTAATTCAGAAATCTGAATTGACTCGGCATCGGCACCATCCTATGGAAACCTTCTTAACAATACGTCTAAGGGCAATCACATCGCATCCATCTTATCGATGATCTAGTTAACAACTACCTTCCACATTCCATCGAATAACTTCGCGTAGATGTCAATTACTAACATTAAGATATTCGCGATCGTCCTTGCCTAAATCAGTACGTTCAATATCCGAAATAAGTATTTCCGAATGTGAAATATTTTCAGGAGACCATCAACTTATTCTTCGATGCAACTGTTCATAAATAATGAATAAATCGGGGTTTTTTTATCAACGAGAAAGTCGATAGGTTTTCCCAATACAAATCTGCAATAATCCAATGAAACAGCACTGATAACAATTCAAGATTCAGTCCTATTCAAATGCACTTCAATTATCTGATGTGTCATATTTCAGCTAAGTAGAAAATTCCATCGGTGTCCATCTACATTGAGTCAGAGTGAATATCCTGTCGATCGAAATCAATTCGATGTAAGATCGTTGTTTCATGTTAATTCTATTTTGTTTTATGATCAACTGTATCATAGATTGAGATTAAACATCGCTGAAAATATTTTTTGCCTTCTGGTGCGATTGCTGTTGGGCCATTTTGATTTGTGTTCATGGGAATAATTGTTATTGATATAACAACAATGATGACAATCAAAATAGCACCAACAAACAAGAATATCATGCCGTTTGTATCGAAAACGATCCCATCTAAATTGAATTTCGCAGTTTCGACATTGGCTCTAAGGTGATTTCATCCACTGACGACATTCTCCATTGATTAATTGGACTTTCATTTTTGTTTTGATTAAGTCTTTTGGTAAATATAAATTAAAGAAAGATGTATTTCTTATTGACAAATATTATTCTCGTACCGTTGTATCAAGCTTTATATTTGTTAAACAATACGTGTTCACCATCGTCCTATTCATTTCAGGTATGACGCTCAGCATTTGGTCAATAAAGATACGAAATGACTTTTGAAGAAATTTTTTCAACATTTAAATACCTCAATTCATTCTTCTTTTCCTTCGTTTTCTCTTCTTCGTCATTGTTGATTTGTAAAGAAAAGACTAAGTGAGCAATAAAGTTAGATGACGATTTGTTTCAATTCCTTTCTTTTTTTAGCATAAAAATATTTCTAGTCGAACCTTTTAAAAATCATTTTTGAGCCTGACAGGACTCAAGGTACATATGTCATGATTTCTTTAGTTTATTTCGATTGAGAAGCACTTGAACGCTTGCATGACTCATGCACAAATAACATGCAGGATGTATAAAAATCATGTGTCAGATAGTTAAATACATAAAAATCTTGAGGATAGAGTGTGCGGGTGTGCATGAAAAGCGTATTCACATTAATATTCACCTAAAAAGTATACTTGTATTTTCTCCAATTTTTCATTTATATTTTATACGTATGACCGATATTAAAATATTGTACAGTAATCAATAGTAGTGACAGATGTGCTTTATTCACATATATAGGATTTGACAACATTTTCTGTTATATGAAATGATAGAGGAAAGGAAGTCATATTTTTGCACAATATCCCACGTCGCTACTTTTTTATGCCTATCGGCGGTACAAGGCGGTTTTCAATATGTCTAAGAAAAATCACCGGTATACGGCGGTTAACCAGTGTTTATTGGACGGTAAGCAGGATATCTTGGACAGGGATTCGACCTTTTCTTGAACGAATTCGCACGCGAGTGTATTCCAACTCTGATCGCATTCGTTCCAAGTAGAGCTCGATGAGCTCTATCAATTCCAATCATAAAAAAATTTCACACACCCACACCCTAAAATCCTTGGTTATCGTGTTGAATGATATAATTCAGCACCTGATAATGTTTCTAAACAAGATTTATTCTCATTTTCATGTTTCATTATTCGAATAGATTATTATCTTTGTTATATAAATGACAAGTGATCGAATGCAGGCTATACAAAGGAAAATTAAAACTAAACGTCGTTTCGTACATTAAGTGAAAATATTAAGTAATATCATGTCAACGTCATTTTAAAAGAATTCTCCTGAGTACATTTTAACAACGTGTCTTTTGTCACTATTGAGTCGACGTAAGGAAACAACTTAAACATGAATATTTTTAGAGAATAAGAAAAATTCTACTCAATATATGACGTACAACAATGAAAGAAGTCGGTGGTTACTATAGTAACTGGTTGTCATTCTTCATTCTTCGTTTATTTATTAGAAAAATGTCAACGTCAGAGAAATTCTGTGTGTTTTATTATAAAAGCTTTCTCAAAATTTTTATTCTGAAAAAGAAAAAATATGGGTTGTGCAGTTGGATTATTAACAACTTATTCAGTTGAAGAAGTTGAATCCGAAGTAGCTAAATTAACTCCTCATTTACCAATGGCTGAATTGATGAATGGTGGAATAATAAAACTAGGAGGAGCAAATGGATTTTTTAATCCAAATTCTCTTCTTGATCCAAGTTGGTTAAAAGGTAAAATGACAGTCGAAGAATATCAACAAGCAATTAATTACATTAATAAATGTGCTGCTCATAGTCAAATTGGTTTAACTAAAGTATATAACACATCTGAAGGTCCAATGCGTTTAAATTTACGAACTCAAGCAGGCATGAAAGCTGTAGAAGAAATTAATCAAAGACATCGTGGAGTGAGATTTACTTATCAACAAACTGTTCAGAATCTTCAAATGAATGTTTCATGGGAATTAGATCCTACACAAAAAGTGATGTTAGCAGGAAGAAGTCCTGTTGGACATGCAACACTAACTATTCTTTATATTACTATTAATTAACTTTATTATTGTTAAGAAATAAATCTTAGTCATTTAAACGATGTTCTAGTAAGTCATTTTAGTCAATAGTAAACAAAATTGAAAGAATATCATCTTATAGTTTCATAATTGCAAGTAAAAGAAAGAAGAATTGAAATGAAATAATATACATTTCTTATATCAATTTGGAAATTTAACCACCCAGGTCGAACAATCCCATAATCGAATCCCATCGGACTCTGAAGGTCTCGGATCCAGCATCGGATTTGTTGACCTGGGTTTTCTGCAAATAATCCAGCTGTTAAACTTTCACCAATCGCTCCAACGTACTGAATATCATATTTAGACGAAGTGTATGGACTGTAATTGTATCATTGATTTGTCTTTTCGAATGCGTTTGAGATGGAAATTGTTGATATATAGATGTAATCTTCTGTTAAATATCATTTCAATGACTATTTTGAATGTTCTTTAAGAAATTCGTCATTTTTGGTCAATTCTTCAACTGGTGAAAGTTATTTGACAAAGATGCACTGAAAAAAAAGTACTAAAATAAAAAGAAGATCAGTCGGTTATTGTTCGCAAAGAAAAGAAGCTTGATTATTAAACGATAAATATTTCGAATATCCACATTGCTTTAAAAAATGATTACTAATTAGAATAACATGGATCATATCACTCTGAATAGCTTTGTAGTCAGATCTATAATGAAACATCTCGTGTTCCTATTTCAGAGGTATGGTTCGACTCTACGCTGTGTATTTGAACATACATTCAATTAGTGCAATATCAATGAAATCGCCTTTTTATTTTGACTGATCATCAATAAAAAAACCTTTCTAAGCAATAAAGCATCAAAACTATCAAATAAACAATAAACAAAATACCCAGGTCAAACAACCCGGCACGGAAATGGTCAGTTCCGGGGTATTCCGGAGATTTCATGGAATCCTGCTTCAGGAACCAACGTCCTGGGTAGATCCATTAGTCTGCAAAACGTTAGCTAGCAAGTCAGTTGTTACACCTTGAAGAAAAACACCTACTAAAAACCGTACGATGTGCCAAAAGCGACGATGTGGTGGAGAAGATTCTAATAAGCAAAAACGGACATGAAGCTAGTACTACGGAACAATGTGTCATATAAAAAGTTATACATGAACGAATTTTTCGTCCGTAAAAACGAGTTCATTCAATGCAGAAAACGTTTTCATAGACGGCAATTCGTTCATATATCAATCTCTATGTGACTCTTTGTTTTCATGGTGCTAACTGCATATCGATAAAGAAAAATATCTCAGAACCATCAAACAATAGTTCTAACAAATGCTCACTAATTAAATATTCTCACTGTAGTTATATTTGTATTTAGCCAGTCTCATTTATCAACATAAAAGCATTAGCCAGTGGAAAGCAGACCTTTATTAAGCACCGTGAGAAAAAAAGCAACAAGAAAAGAGCATTAAAGCATAGGTCAGTTTTTGTGTGGTTTTTGTGTAGGTAATGTCGCTCTCGTATAAACCATATTTATGATGTGCCATGGATTGTCTAAGGGGAAAACGACACGATTTCAATGAATTTTCAAAGTAAGATCGAACTTCACGAACGACTAATAATCGAAGATATACATGAAATATATTCTCGACCTCAAATATCTACTAAGAACTTTAGAAAGATTGCATTAGTTCCTTTGAGTGAGTTTTAAGAACTCCTATATTCTAGGTGCATTCATTTATACTCGACATATGAAACGAATCATTCTTTATGAGCAACATTAAACGACAGAAATTTTGAAGAGAATTTTCGTCATTTTTCTTTTTTACAAGAGCTTCTTCGACGATATCCATCGAAATGGCATCTGTTACACTATTGCTTTTACGGTAGTCTCATTGCCTCGTTTTCTTCTCTCTTCAATAGTGACTTCGCGCGCATTACACTATGTTCGGCAACGTGCATCTTCATTTCAGTCCAACTGACCCAAAATCAAATCTCTCGCTGTCAATATAAAGTAGCTACTTACCAAGATTAAAGTGATGATTAATTGGATGCGAACACGAGCTACATGCTAATACACCATTATCATCATGACCTTGTAGCATATTGTTATTTAATAATATGCTTTGTTCAAAGAAACATTCTGTGTTCCTTCTAAAACAGTCGACACAGCAATTGCGGATTATCGAAGACATTCGATCTAAAACGAATCAATTGAGAAAAAGAGCTTTTTTCTTTTATATACAGATTTCATATTTGATTTCGAACATATCTTGAAATAAAATAGCAATCCTATATGTAAATGCAAATGAACGAAGAACTGATTGAATGATTGGTTAAGAAGCCAATCACAAAAGAAAAATGCACTAAGATAGGTGGAACTATGAAGTGGCTCCATCTATCTGTCAACGGAGTATATAAGAAAGTCAAGTTGAAGTTGAACATAGTAAAATAATAATTTTCTAACTGAAAGGTTTCTTACCTATTTTCTAAATCTTTTTTATCCTATTCGGTAGCTGTACAGACAAAGTTTCTTTAGACATCAATAAGACTATTGTGCTTTTAACATCAGTTGCTAATCGTGTACGAGTATAGTCAAGCGAATACACAAAACATCAATGATGATGCTACTACTTATTACACTTTAACCAGATTATTTCGTTTCCGTTGATCAAATGTAAATCAAAACAAATCCGAACGGAAAATTCAAAGAAACAATTGATTAAATTACCACGCCAAAATGAATGAGGGTGTTCATTTTTGAAGATTTACTTAGTAAATCAAAAGTAACAGTGTACGTTCGACTAATTGTACCTTGTTTGAACATTTCACCTTGATTTTGAAGAAGTAACATAACACGTTTAATAGATACATTTGTTGTCTGTACCAAAACAATACTCATATCGTCATCCTACGAATCTTCAGAAATATTTCTCTTATTTCGGACATCATTCATCCGATGACATGTTTTTTTTATTTGAAAATAATTGAAGATGGCTTTACCCTGACACTCTTTATATGCAGTCAATGAATTCTCAACCAATTCAAAAATCCTAAGCGAGATGATTTTGTTAAAGGATGTTGAACAAGCCATTGATGATCTGGTCGTCGATTTGGATTTCGTTGAAGACAATGATGAAGAATATCTTGAACAAGATGAGAACTAGTTGATGAAACACCATTTGGTGGACGTGGATTTTCATAAATAGGTCTTTTTCCATAGGTCAAAAAGTATAAAATCGCACCAACGGACCAGATATCAGCTTTTGATGTTATCGGTATTTGTCCTGAAAAACATTCAGGTGCACTGTAAGGGCGTGAACCTCCTATTCTTTGACGTCCACTGTATCTTATGAAAAAAGCAAACGTTTGATAGAATATAGTTTTTGAAGAAAAAGCATTTTACCCTGCAAATTCATCTTGTGCTGAACCAAAATCAATAACTTTAAGTCTTTTTCCGAAATATAATAAATTAGCCGGTTTGAGATCACGATGAACCTGCATTGATTAGAAATTCTCTCCTCACCAAAATAAATCATTTAGACTTACAACACCGTGTCGATGAAGTGCAAGAAGAATATTAATTAATTGAATCCAGATATTTTGTCGATCCTTCGATGAAATAAAATCATCAGATTCTGAATATTTTGAATTCAAATGGTTTTTATGAAGAATTCGAATTCGATCTAAAAATAATTCATCTGCTAATTCCAAAACTATAAAAGCCAAATTATATTTTGATTGAAATTCATATCCATACATTGTTACAACATATTCACTTTCATTTAATAATCGATTTGCCATTTGAACTTCACTATTAAAAGAATTTAAACGTTCATTCACATCAATATTATTACTTGATTGATTGAAATTAAATACTTTCACAGCAACATATTCACCTAGGAATGCAAAAATCAGATCATTGAATTACGAAATAAAAGAAGCGCACCATTTTGTGTTTTTGACATCCATACAGATCCATATGTTCCATAACCTATTGGTTTAATTAAAGTATATAAATCACCTTGGATGCGATATAATTGATGTGAATGGATTAATTTTCTCGAAAACATTCCAATGTGTTTATCAATGAAATCAAAATAGTTTCTTTTTCTTGTCGATAAATATGATATATAAACATGTTTTTCAATATAATTATTTATACGAAATTAAAGAATATATCGTCATACTTGATTTACAATTCAATCGAATTGATTATTTTATCAAATAATCAAATTCAATTCTAAATTCTTTCATGAGAAGATCAAACTTTTTCTTTTGTCTGATTTTAAAAAGACAAAAAAAAACTTTTATTATTTTGTTTTTTTCTTTTCGTCAAGGATATTTGTAACGACATGACAAAACATGTGACACAAAAAGATATTTTTCTAAATTCATATATCGTTTGTTAGATTATGATTTCTATTTATAGAATTGGTAAAGAGTTGATTTCAACTTAAATATAAATCATATCGAAATAAAACAATATCAAGAGAAGAAATGAAAATCTCATCGTTCATATATCATTTCAAGTTTAATGATGAACAAATAAATATTCCGATTTGAAACGATCGATAACAATTTGCTTTGTCATTAATATATCAATATGATTTCACTTTCTTTGTTTTGATTTTGAAATTATACCAATAGTTTCAAACATTATTCATCGATATTAATCTAAAGAGTGATGATAAATTCATTGAAGCATAACGTACAATGTCTAAATAGGAGAAAGGATATATATTCATATTCAATGATACAAAAAAAGGTCATATGATAAAGTACTAATGGACGAAAATAATACAAAAAAATATCCAATAATTCGTGTTGCTGGTGTACCCGAACATTTCAATGAACCATGGATGATTGGAATTGAAGAAAATCTTTTTTTAAATGAACAAATTCAAATCGAATGGCATTCAATAAAGGAAGGAACTGGTGCAATGATAAATAAATTAAAATCGAACGAAGTTGATCTCATCATTGCATTAACTGAAGGTCTAATTAATGAAATTTCTAAAGGTTCAGATATTCGTTTAATTGGAACATATGTTCAATCACCATTGACATGGTCTGTGTCAACTGGAATCAATTCTCAATTCAATTCAATTGAAGATTTAAAAGGGGAAATCTTTGGCATAAGTCGATATCAAAGTGGATCACATTTGATGAGTTGTGTTCTCGCAAATCAATATGGATGGAAACAAGATGATGTGCATTTCTTGGTTAATGATAATTTTGAAAATTTAAGAAAATCACTTAATGAAAACACATCTGCTGCCTTTCTTTGGGAATATTTTATGCAAAAACCTTTTTATGATAAAGGTGAAATTCGTCGTATTGGAGAAATCATCACTCCGTGGCCATGTTTTCTCATTGCATCACGACAACAATTCATTGGTGAACATTTAAATGATTTAGAGAAAATGTTCAAAGCATTGGGCAAATCTTGTGATTTATTTCGAAAAAATTCTTCGGAATCAATTCAAAGAATTTCCAAGAAATTCCATTTAAATGAAAATGATGCCAAAGCTTGGTTTGACAAAGTGAATATCGTTGGAAAGAATTCCATTGCTGAATCAACGATTGAAATCACAATTGATTCATTAAAAACCGCACAAATCATCAATTTCAATGTGAAATCTCTCGATCCAATTCGTTTTCTCGATACGCGAATCGCCAAATTAATTCTCGATATCAAATCAATGCGTCTTTATAATAAACCTGAATTATTAATTTCCTTACGAAATAATTTACGTGTCAACGGATTTTCCAAAGGTCCGATTTCCTACAAAGATTTACTTCCATTTGATCAAAATCATTATCATGGAACCGAAGTTTTAGATTTAGCCATGAAAGAATTGAATTTTCTCGATCAAAATATGAATTCCAATCGTTGGGCCATTCAAATAGGTTCGAATTTAGGTGGTTGTGCGAGATATTTAGCTGGTGAATATCATTTAAATATTTTGGCAATTGAATTACAAAATGATTTATCTCAATTCGCAAGTGAATTAACCGATCGATGTGATTTGTCACAGAAAGTTCATCACATTGCTGGTGATTTTCTCAACGTTGCTCAACATTTACAGGAAAATTTTTATGAAACCATTTTCAGTTGGATCACAATTTTACATTTCAATGAAAATGATCGAATTCAATTGTTGAAACAATCATTTCGATTATTAAAAGTCAATGGATATTTTTTTTGCGAAGATTTTATTCGAATTGGTCATTTAACAAATGAAGAATCGCAAATCTTAGAACACGATGTGTTTTGTAAATATTTACCAACGATTGATGAATATCAACAACATTTAATTCAATCGGGTTTTCAAATTATTCAAATTGTTGATTTATCAGAAGATTGGAGAAATTTTACAAAAGAACGATTGGATTCATTTGAACAAAATCAAAATAAATTAATCGAAATTCATGGTGAAGAAATTTATCAACGTTTAAAATACTTTTTTCAATCAATTGTCAAAGTTTTCAGTGGAAAAAATGTTGGTGGAATTCGAATTATTGCTCAAAAACAATAAATTTCTTCTACCAAAGGTCAAAAACAATACATCATCCTTATCAATATAAAATTTCTTGTTGTATTCGATGATTTTCAACGACCATAAATTTCTTTCACTTTGTTTTTTTTTCTTCTTTCTAAGATTATTTAGTCTGTCTTTGTTATCTGATTTTGGAATAAACTTTGATCATTATTAATCATTGATAAGAAATATTTACTGAGAAATTTGACCAGATGATGAAAACCTATAAATAATTTGTGGATTTGAAAATGTAACTTTGCTTTTAATTAAAAGATTAATAGATGAAAATGATCTGTAAAATATTCTTCATTGTTCTTATTTGTTCAATTGGAACAATTCATAGTTTATTGAATGTTCAAGATTTTATCGATTCGATTTTAATCAACGAAAAAAACAAAATCAATCTAATTGAAAATGATCCAATTTTATTTCAACGAATTTATAATTATTTTCAATTACATTATCGTAAAGAGAATTTCAACAAAAAAGTCGATTGGAAAAAATCTGAACGTACTCAAATCTTTAAATCCAATTTAAAATATGTTCTTCAACATAATGAAAATCCATTGAATACGTTTAAATTAAAAATCAATGAAATGAGTGATTGGACTGATTATGAAAGAGATCAACTTCGAACCAAAATCACCAATGAACCATTAAATCGAAATCAACTAATTCAATCACGTCAACATATTCAAATTCCAGATTTTTATGATTGGACCAATCAAAATCGTGTTCCAGGTGCGGTAACACCTGTGAAAAATCAACGTCATTGCGGTTCATGTTACGCATTTGCTATGGTTGGTGCTTTAGAGAAAACTTATGCTCAAATTTATAATCAATCAGGTCCATTAAGTCCACAAGAATTAATCGATTGTTCATATGCAAATGGTTGTGAAGGAGGAAGTTTTACAGATACATTTAATTATATTCGAGATAATGGATTTCGACTTAATTTAGAAAAAGATTATCCATCAACAATTGATGGAAAACAACGAGAAAAATGTGAGAAAAAGACGGGAGTTCTTCTTTCATTTAATTCGAAATATCCACTTCAATATGAACAATTACCAAGTGAAGATGAAACATATATGAAACAAGTTGTTTATACACGTGGACCAATCTATTTCTCATTTAATTGTGGAAAACGTGAAGGAAATGATACAATTTTACGAGAAGTTTCAAATAAATTTGATCATTATGCATCGGGCATTTTCGATGTTCCCGGTTGTCCAGCTTATCGCAATATGAATCATGCTTTAGTTATTGTTGGTTATGGTACAGAAAATGGAATTGATTATTGGAAAGTCAAAAATTCCTGGGGAACTTCATGGGGTGATAATGGATATATCAAAATCCGACGAAATAAAAATATGTGTGGAATTGCTTCATATCCTTATTATGTGGGATTATTTTAAATTCTCATTTTCATCAAATAAAAAGAAACAAAGAGAAATTTTTTATCTTAGGATCAGCTTGATTAAATTTATTGGATAAAAAAATGAATTGATTAAAAGATGAAGAAAGAAATGAAATCTTGTCAAGATTTAACTCTGTGCGTGTTTAGCTTTATGTTCTTCAGCTTTAATATGATGTTCAGCAGCTTTTGCTGCTGCTTTATTCGCTTCAAACTGAGCATCCAATCGTTCACTTGGTTTCACATTTGGATCATTGGCTTTCTCAAATTTCTCATCTGCTTTTTTGTTATCAACTGCTTCTTTGACTTTTTCAATTCCAGCTTTGACCGCTTCCATTGAAGTTTCTACAAAATGACAACAAAAATACATTTTCTAAGAACTATTCTAGTTATTTTATACTTACATAGACTTAGAAGACGTACGATAAGAAAGTGTGTGTGTGTGTGAAATGAAAATGGAACCAACTGTCTGCTTGTTTCTCTCGTTTTTTTAATTTTCTTGGTTGAGAAAGAAAATGAAGAAGTACAGATATGTTCGCGGTCATCCGGTCATATTTCTATCAGACCCAGACAGGCAGACAAGAGCAAGAGAAAGAAAGAAAAATGTATTCTTCACAATTTTTTTCTCTTTTTTTCTTCTGTTACAACAAATAATGAAAATCATCGTTCTTTCTTTGAACTATATCAAATTTATCAGTTGTGCATATAAATCCTTTTTAGTAAATATTCTGTCAAAGAAGACAATAATATAAAAATGAATTTATTCATATTTCGACCAGTTGAATATGAATTTGAATATCGTTATTTTCTCACTACATGATCTTATCTTTGAGAAATTTGTCTATTAAATGATGATATTTAGGATGCGGAATAATATTCATATTAAAATTAAGTAAGAATTTTACGCAGATATTTGTTGAGATAAAAGATATTATAGCATCATTTATGCTTCGAAAATTAAGCTGAAATTCAAATTTGTAATTCATCTGATTGTCGTACATGCATTTATCTACTTGATTCATTCATGAGAAGCGAAAGGAAAGAAGAAAATCTTCGTCGTTTTCGATTGGTGAGAAAAGTCACCAATGATTGATTTGAAGTCGTAAAAAAAACATGACATAAATGAAAAAATTGTATTTTTATTATAAAATATTTTTGTTCGAAAATTGGAAAATATGAAAAGGAAATCTTTGAAAATTTCGAATTAACCTTTTTCGAAAGGCATAGATTTTTCTTTAAGGTTATAACCAATATGTTGAGTTCTTATCGTTTTTATCATTGATTTCCGAAATGTGAAAAAATCTTTAATTGAAATAAAAACCATCATTTTAGATAAAAAAAACGATCAACGAGAAATGGCATCAACAGTATGTAAAACAAAACTTTTGTTAGACAAAAATGAATATCAAATGACATCTTTCATAGACGACTGGAAAAATTACTGAATTCCGTCGTTTATTGTCAAATGCTCGATCAGTTCTTGTTTTAACCGGTGCAGGAATATCAGCCGAATCAGGTGTTCCAACATTTCGGGGTGCTGGAGGATTTTGGAGACAATTTCGTGCAACAGTTCGTTATTTCCTTCTTTGAAAACAACTAAAGGATCTTTCTTTGTAGGATTTGGCAACTCCCACAGCATTTACTCGTTCTCCATCACTTGTTTGGGAGTTTTATCATTATCGGAGAGAAATTGTTCGTACGAAAGAACCAAATAAAGTTCGCATTCATTTCTCTGGGATTTTCCACGAGTCATTTCTTGTATTTATTTTAGGCTCATTTTGCTTTAGCAGAAGCAGAAAAACGATTTGAAAAAGAAGGAAAACGATTTCATGTTATCACTCAAAATGTAGATGGTAAATGTGAAATTTAGTGAAAATCTCTTTTCGATCATTCTCTCATAGGACTTCATCGTCGTGCTGGATCAAAAAATTTAGTTGAAATGCACGGAAATCTTTTCATGGTTCGCTGTACTTCTTGTTCGTTGATTGAAGAAAATAATTCAAGTCCAATTTGTGAATCATTAAGAAATCGAGGGTAAACATTAACAAAAAGTTTTGATAATAACGCATTTTTCGATTTCATGAAGATCTCCCGATACTGATAATCGAGATGAAATTGATGAAAAAGATCTTCCACGTTGTCGAAAATGTCAATCTCTTCTTCGTCCTCACATTGTTTGGTTTGGTGAACAAATTTGGCCTGATGTTTTAGAAAAAATCGAAAAAGAAATTCAACTATGTGATTTATTTTTAGTTGTAAGTTTCTTTTTTTCTTTGTCTTGTTTTTCAAGGCTTCTCTTCTTCCCTTAAGATTGGTACATCATCTGTTGTGTACCCAGCTGCTGGTTACGCATCAATTCTTGCTGAAAGAAATGTTCCTGTTGTCGAAATTAACATCGAAACTACTCCATCAACATCCATTGCAACGTTCGTTCATAATCTTTGTTTTCTTTGAGATCCGATTCAATCTTCTTTTTTAGTCATCACTTTCACGGACCAGCAGCACAGATTGTTCCTCAATTATTATCAACAAATCAGAAATAAATTTCTTTGTTTTTTTTTTAAAAGAGAATGGTGAAATATTTTAATAAAATGATGATTAAGAAAAACGAATTATTTATTTGTTGCACATTTTCAGCTGATTGTCGATAATTTTCCACGAAAAGAAAAGCACATTGATCGTATAGATATTTGCCAAAGATAATTTGTCCAAATGGCGAAAATAAATGCAGTATGTCATTTTCATTCAAATTATTTGAAGTAGTTTAACAACACTTGAATTATTGTTGATTCTATATGAAAAAAATACATCTCAATATAGTGTAGGTAGATTATGTGGATCTCAAGTAGAAACATTGTTTTTATGAAATTCCTTTTTTATTCTTCTGAACTATAAGAATGTTGTCTCAACGATAATGAAACTAAATTCGGAATAAAATAGAGAATTCTCACGATTGGTCAATAAGGAGCTTTTTTTCATAACAATTATAAAAACTAAAAAAGAAAAAAGTTACAATTTATTGTATTTTGCTTTTAAAATATTACTCGAGCCCACGAATCCCATACACTCAGATGCCATTCGATCCTGTGGTGGATTCTATCGGAATACTACGATCGAACAAAATTGCTTGACGAAACAACATTCGATGTTAATTCTTGAGCGTTAATCTTTTACTATAATAAGTATACCTGGCATTGAGACTGCATAATTCATCCTATGTTTAAGTGCGCCACCTGTCGGAAGAAATCTTTTGCTTGTGTTTTAATAAATGTATAATATTCTCTTTGTCAATTAATTAAATAAGAGACATTTAGCATAAAACTAAATTAATGTTTGTTCGTCGATTATATTTCTTCATTTTTTTTCTATTGGATAACCAGCCAAAATTCATCCTAACTTACATACAACGGCAATGATTGATAATAAATTGAGCTCTGATATGGATTGTTTATTCTACCATAATAATATCGGAACCTTGTATCAGAAAAATTCAGGATAGAAATTATTATTATAGGTAGCATTTTACCAAAAGGATGACTTCAGACAGAATGATATGAAATATGTCGGAAACTGAAGAAAACGTTTTACTTAACAACAGAAATCATGATGCAGCATCAACATGTTCGAAAAAGAAAAATGACATAAAGAATAGTTTCACTTTTTATATTTTTGATTAATTTCATAGTTGAATCATATTGTAACATGGAAATAGAAGAAGACCCATATTCATTTATCAAATATATTAATATGATAAATAAACACAATGATGGTTATGGAAGTCCAACTATACATGCATTGGTTGAAATGGGTTTATTGTCAACTGATGACAAATTTATCTGTAGAATTAATAACACATCTTATGAATGTTATATAGATAAAGATAAAGAAGAACAATATGTTTTGTGCTATGAAAATCGTATAAAACATTCCAATGCTATAAAAATTTACCATTAAGTTGTGGAAGTTTATGAAGATAAAAATAACTTACATAGGAAATGCTTCCCAGGTCGATCATTCTGGTGACTGGATACGTTTAAACCTGAGTCGGGTTCGGTATAATTCCAGCCGAATTCAACAGGTTTCCATCGGCTTTGGCAAATTCTTTGCCGTCGGATCCCGTTCGGAAATTTACAGGAAATGTCCGGTCAATTCCTGACTGTTTCCAGCTCAAAGTCAGTAGAAAATGGTCAGGAAGTAACTGGAAACTTCGTTTGAACTCTCGGCTGGAATGCGGCGGCAAGGAAATCATCGGAAAGTGAACTTTACCGGTCGGAACCGACCGAGGCACAATAATCTGGGCTATCAACGTTTAATACGGATCAATGATAACAAATCATTATGGATTTTTTGTTTTCAACTAAAAATAAAATTTGAACGTCCAATGACATATTTGCTTATGGATAGTGAATTTGGTATTTGGGAAGTGTACACATCCTTCAATCATGATGATAAAAAAAGAACGTTTTATTGCCGATCCAACACAAAATATGATGACATTTTGCAAACAATTTCTAACACTAATCTCAGCGATTTTGATATTGATACACGCAAGCATAAACAACAATTATTTAGTTTATTGAAATATGACGATATTAAAATTATTTATCAACCGCAAACTGAGAAAGATTATATGAAATTGGATAAATCTGGTAATGATTTAAGTTATGGCTCAGGGATTTATCGACATCAATTACATTTGGAAGGTAGTGTTACATTTTTCATCCAAACAAACAATAACAATCAGCATTACGCCTTAACAGCCAAACATGTTAGTCAAGATTAAGATGAATATTCAATTCAAACTAAATCTAACATAAACTCATTTAAATATCTGTCAATCAATTCTGCTAACACAATTAACTTAGATTATGATGCTGTTCTTTTGAAAGTCACCGGGGTGCCTTATTGTAAAATTCCTAATTTGCACTATACAGCACTATACAAGGAAATTTATACCATCCAATCTTCCACATCATACGATTCCTCGCCTGAATCACTAGACCGTAAGTCATTATTTATTCCACTCACTCAACCTCGTACATCTTCATCGATGAGTGTTGCAGGGAAATCATCGTCGGAAGCAAGGGAGGCTGAGGCAGCATCGAAATTTTCGATTGAAGGAAATAAATCTGCATCAGAATTAGGATCTAGTGAATCCAGCAATACAGAAGATGTTGAGATAAAATCGCATGATCCAATGAATATTTCCGTTGATTCATTGGACTTGTTAATTAGGAGATATAAACCGAACAAGGTACCAATATTCAAATTCGGTGCTGGCACAAATTTAACCACGGAGTCTATAAAAGAAATTGATGCATCTGCAACATTGCATGGAACTAAATATTCTACCCAATTCAACAAATCCGATCGGATTCCTGGAAGCGGAATTGCATTGGAATCCGACTGGAAAAATTTAGTCGGTTATTGCAAATTTTATGAGCGATCGTTTTAGCTATATTCTATGATGACCCTCGGAATCCACTGCGATTCCGTCATCAGAATTTCATCGGATCCGTCGAATTCCTGTAGGATCCGAGTGCGGGATTGATCGACCTGGGTAATTTAATTGAAGTTGAATGGATGGATGATAATAGAATTTGCGTTCGATGGTGATTCTGGATCATTGTATTTTGTATACGATTTAACGACGAATTCATTTGTTCCTGTTATGCATGTTGGATCAAAAGAAAAGAAATCGTTTGGTATCATAATATCGTTTATTTTTCAAGAATTGTTTGATAATGGATATAAGTTTTTAATTTGTGATTCAGCTGATTGTAACGCGAATTAGCTTTTCTTTTTTTTGGAATAAAATAAGACCAATATATATTATGCAGATTCATTCATTTTCTTTCTAAACGTTCTGTTAAAACTATATGAATTGATAGAACTTGTATCGAAAGGGAACGACGGTTGATGATTGACCGAATGGAAGTAGAAGAAAAGAAGATTTTATTGTCGGCTTTTTATTGTTAGAAAGAATCAAACAATCATCAATTTATTAACCTCAATGAAATAAAAAACAGACTAAAATAAAATAGAGTCTTTTTCTCTTTTTTTGTTTTTTTATAAAAGTTTCTTCTGAGAAAATTTCAGTTTATTTTATTCTGAAACTCAAAAAGCAATTAAATGTATGAGGGTATGAATTACCCATTCGACGTCTTTACTTTTTTCTCATAAAGGTTAGGACTCAACATGCCGAAATACTTTATTGATTCCTAAACAAACAAAAACGTTTAATTGAAATTAAACTTATATTGTTAGATAAAAAAGCTAGAATGACAGCGACTCTATGTAAAAGAAAAACGTCATTTTAATAGACAACTGAGAGAACCATTGAATCCTTCATTTATCTTTAAATGCTCGATCGATTCTTCTATTAACCGGTGCAGGAATAACAATTGATTCAGGAGTGCCAACATTTCGTGTTGCTCGAGAATTTCGTACAACAGTTTCTTATTTTCCTTTCAAAATGAAGCTAGACAATTTGTATTTCGGTAAAAAGGGATTTGGTCACGTCAATAGCATCTGATCCTTTCAATAATAAGAATTAATCTTACTTTCTATTTAAGCTCATTTTGCTTTAACAGAAGCAGAAAAATGATTCCATGGTATCACTCAAAATGTAGATGGTAAGTGTGAAATTTAGTGAAAATCTCTTTTCAATCATTCTCTCATAGGACTTCATCGTCGTGCTGGATTAAAAAACTTAGTTGAAATGCACGGAAATCTTTTCATGGTTCGCTGTACTTCTTGTTCTTCAAGGCTTCTCTTCTTCCGTTAAGATTGGTACATCATCTGTTGTGTACCCAGCTGCTGGTTACGCATCAATTCTTGCTGAAAGAAATGTTCCTGTTGTTGAAATTAACATCGAAACTACTCCATCAACATCCATTGCAACGTTCGTTCATAATCTTTGTTTTAATCT